CTCTCTCTCTCTCTCTCTCTCTCTCTCTCTCTCTCTCTCTCTCTCTCTCTCTCTCCTCTCAGCAAAACGTAACCAAGTAGCCACCTCCCGGCCTTCAAAGACTTCCAGCCAGTACTCAGGCCCCCAACAATACCAGGGGCGCCTGGACAGTTCCTGCCTCTAAGATGGGGTGGGTGAGCTGGGTGAAGTATGCCCCTGTGGTTCAGGGAAAGAGAAAGGCCGCTCCCCCCACTTTTGCACCGCTCCGCGGGTTCCGCCCGGGTCTTCCCGGGCAGCGTTCCCTCTCCACGTCCCGATTCTCCAGACGCATCACCCCTCGGAGTCCGCCGCTTCGGGTCCAGCTCAGCCCTCCCCGGGGTGATACTGCTCAACAATGGAGAAGCGGACAGGGGTCGCCGGGCGCACCCCGCTCTCCCGCCGCACCCACGCCCCGGTGCTCACCCTGTTCCAGGTCCTGCTGGTCGTACCAGGGCTCCTCTTCCTCTGTGGAGAAGTCCTCCATCCCGGCGGCTCTCCGCATGGCCCCGCGGGCGGCGGGCGGCAGGCGGGCGCTGCGGCGGCGCGGCTCAGGGCCGGGGCGCGGGGCCCGGGACAATGCGGCGGAGGCGGGCCGGGCCTCCCGCGTCGCGGACTCCGGCTGCAGCGCCCTGGCCCGCGCCGCGCCCCCTCGCCATCGGCCGCCGACCCGTCGCCCACGCGGGCCTGGCGCACCGCGGCGATCCGGCCGGGCCGGGGTCCTGCGGAGCCGGGGACACCGGACGGCGGAGGCACAAAGGGTGGAGGGGCGGAGACGGCGGGCGGGACGGCGGCAAGGACGGTCGGAGTCCGCCGGCACGTCTGGGGCGCTAGGAGTGCGCGGGGGCCGCGGCGGGCGCCCCCTGCCCGGCTCCGGCCCGCGCTGCCCCCTGCCCGCCCGGCGACACCCGGAGCCGCCGCTGCATCTTGGCGGGGTCCGCCCCACGCTTCCCTAGCCGCCAGCTCTGAGAGGTGGGGCCGGCCGCCGCTGGCCAATCAGGAGACTATGCAGATATAGAGGCGGGGCCGAGGGCGGGATCTCCCCGGTGCCCTGGTGGGGCCGTTGCTGGTTCAACCTCCCCCTCTCCCCAACGCCCGACCCCTTCGGTTTACCGCTCACTGAAATGATTTTATTTTGCTTACCTGCTGTTATCTCTCTCTCCCTTTAGATCTCCTGAAAGCACAGATCGTGCCTCTCTTGTTAGTTCACAGCTGGCTTCTCAGTGCCTAGAACAGGCTGGCCCGTTAGGACCTTCCATGGACACTCTTTGAATGAATATTTATTTACATTACCCTTGAGAAGTTGTGTGTTTAAATATCTGTGGCTGGACACCTCAGTCCAGGAGTGGCGAAGTTTGAGGGTGTGTTACCTGCATTCTGGACCTTTCCCTTTAAGGTCTTGTTTCCCTCCCCTTCCCTCTCTTTCCATATGCTATATTCAGTTACAACAGCTAAAACCATACACAATTTCACCTTCTAAGCATTCTTTCCTTAAAGAAGTTATCAGACTCAAACATTCATGAGCATTCATGTAACTGATTGTTATTAGGACTGTTGAGGCATCCTGAGTATATCCAACTCTGAATATATGTGGCAAATATATCCAACAAAGGACTTCTATCCAGAATATAGAAAGAATACCTGCAAATCCACAGGAAAGACAGCCCAGTAGAAAAGTAGGTAAAAGACTTGACCAGGCACTTTACAAATGACCAAATGACCCAACAAACATGTGACAAAGTGTTCAACTTCTTAGAAACATCAACCCTTGTAGGGAAAGAGAAGGAAACAGGGTTTGCATAGGGAGGAATTGGGTTGAGATGTGACCGTAACAAAAGCCTCCCCTGACTCTGGACAGCTCTGAATCCGGAGAGACCTTCCAAAGCTATTCCAAGCGGAAATGGGGAGAGGGACCCATGTCCACAAGGATCTCAAGGTCCTTAACTCAATCACATCTGCAAAGTTCCCTTTGCTATGCAAGGTAACATTTATAAGTTCTGGGGATTAGGATGCGAACATCATTAGGGATCATTCCATTTATATAAAGTTCAAAACTGGCAAAAACGAATCTGACCAGGATAGTATTTAGCTTTCAAGAGTCATGTGGGGAACTCTGAGGGGCTGGGAATGTTTTATTTCCTGATCTGGGTGCTGGTTACACAGGTGTGTTCATTTGTGACAATCTTTGACTTGTACACTTAGTTTTTTTTTTTAAGTGGGCTCCATGCCCAATGTGGGCCTTGAACTCATGACCCTGAGATCAAGAGTCACATGCTCTACTAACTGAGCCAAACAGGCACTCCAGCCTGTATACTTAGGGTGTATACATTTCTTTGAATATAGGTTATACTTCAATAACAGTTTACTTAAGAAGAAAAAGAAATCTATGGCTGAGACATAGGCAGTCTCTGCCCTTGTGCATCCTTCATTCTAGTGGGGACAAATAAGTTATTACAACCTGCAATGTGTGCTATGAAGGAAATTAACAGGGTTCTGGAAGCAAGTTTGGGGCAAGGTTTAGATTCAGTGTTCAGGAAAGACCTTCCTCAGAAGGTGACCTCTAAGTTCATAGCTAAAGGATGAGATAGTGCCAGCCATGCCAAGCTCTAGGGGGAGAATGTTCCAGGCAGAGGAAACAGCAAGGGCAAAACCCTTAAGGCAAAAAGAACTTGACATATATTAGGAACTGACAGAAGGCTGGTATAACTGAATGGAGTGGATAAAGGAGAGATGAAATCAGAGTTAGGGCCATGGGAAGGAATTGGGATATTTTTTCCCCCCAGCTGGACAAAGAGAATGAATAGAAGGCTTCTCATTTTCAGTTGTAAAATATCACTGGCAATTTTGGAGCATGGATTGGAGGGGAGGGAGCAAGAGTGGAAGCAAGACCAGTTTGGAGGCTTTTGCGATCGTCTGGAAGGGAAGCAATGGTGGGATGCGCAAGGCTGGTGCCAGTGGACTCGGAGCAAGACGAGAAACATTCTGGGTGTAGAATGACAATGTGCAGATGAGCCGACTGAAGAATCAGAGTGATGTTTTAGACTTCTGGCTCCAGTAACCAGGTGATGGTGATGCCATTTATTGAGCTGGGGATAGAAATGAGTCTAAGGGACTAGCAGGTTGCAGGATTGGGGGTGAGGTGGGGAGGAGTAAGTTCCAAAGGGATCTGGTGAGCGCTTCAAACTCACCAAGTCCTCCTCCCATTTGTTCATTTCTTCATTCTGCAGCTCTGTGGGTGAGCTGCCCCGAGGGAGTTTAGGAAGTCCCAAGAAGAGAGCAGGGGCCAAGGGCTGAGGGCCAGGGCCTGGGGAGGGCTGCCTCAATTTCCCTAGCCTGGACAGTGAGGATGCTAGTTAGAGTAATTAAAGGCAGCCCCCATCTGAAGATTCACCTCCAACCCCTGGAGCTAAGGATGCTTTCAGTGATGACTTAGATGACCCCCATGTTTGCAAACATCCAGATCCTGTGTCACCTCCCAGCCTTTGGCCTTTACCTACTGGCCAGGTCCTCAGCATGGCTCTCCTCTCCTGTAGCCACCCTCCTCCCGCCCCAGCCCCAGAAGCATCATCTGGCAGGGACAAATGTCACAAAGGCTGGATTCTCATTGCCATCCCAGCAATAGGCACGCTGATTGAGGCTGGATTCTCCTGGATCTCATGAGGCTGGTATGGCCCAAAGCTGGGAAACCAGCTCTGCCAGGTGGGTGGGGCTTCCTTATCTCCCTCTGCAGGGGACAGAGAGTGGAGGTCCAGGTGACCTGCAGAGCTGTGGCTGGCTGAGGAATGGGAGGTGCATGCTGTGTACCAAGCCTGTGCCAGGCCTTTTGCCTGAGTTGGTGCATAGGAACCCCAGGCTCCTTGCCCACTGGGATCACTCCCTGTGCCTTCAGGCCAGACTTAACAGTTTTTAGACTATTCCAAGAGAAGGAAAATCAGATCTGTTTTTTTTAAGTTTATTTATAAAGTTTATTTATTTTATAAAGTTTATTTATTTAAGTAATCTTTACACCCAAGGTGGGACTCGAACTCAGGGCCTGGAGATCAAGAGTGGCATGCTCCTCCGACTGAGCCAGCCAGGCGCCCCAAATCTACTTTTGAGGAAGGAAACTCCTCAGCCTCTCTGAGCTAGCAGCCAGCAAGCTCTGGGGCTCATTTCAGGCCCTTCCCTCTAAGGAGGTAGAGGGCCTCCGCAGGGGTCAGAAGTGTAAACTATCTGACCTTGGTTCGCCCCCAGCCTGATACCTCATAGTGTGTCAGGCAGACCTACTGGGCGGTGTTCCCTGTTGGGATGGCCAGAGCCCTCGGTGGACCCGATGTCCCCCAAGCCTTGGGCATTATGATTCCCCTGGGGTTGGCTTCACACTCCAGCAACCAGGAGCGCTTCCCCAGCTCCCTGGAAATGCAAGCCCAGCTCCTGAATGTGGGACCAGAGCACAGAGAGGGAATCCCGGGGGGAGCTGGGAACCGGGACCGGCGATGCAACGCCCTCCCGCCAGCGCTGCTTGGGCGCAGGGCGGGGCCGGACACCCGGACACCACGATGGAGTCGCCACTGCCACCCACCCGCCCAGCCCGGCCCACCGGAAATGACGGCGCTTGCGCAGGCAGCGCTGACGTTGGAGGGTCCCGGCCGCTCCCAGTCACCCGAGTCGCCCTGGGGGAGGGGCAGGGTGCCCAGCCCGCGCCTCGGGGCCCTCGGGGTACGTATCGCCCCCGCACGCTGCACATCTTGGGTGGAGGTCAGGGGATCAGGCGATATCAGGACCCCTTCCTCGGGTGCCCCCACCCTTGCAGGCCGCGCTGCCCTCCCTGTCCCCAGACCCGTCGTTCCAGCGCTGGGCGCACATTGCACTGAATGATCTCGCCCCATCTGTCCCCCCTCCACCAGTCTGAAGTCAATGCCAGGCGGGATAAGGCGCGAGTGAGGTCATCGGGTGCCCATCCCCTCTCCCCCCTCCCCCCCCCCACCCCGTCCCCTATATACCATCTGAGTGTGTCCCAGACCACTGTCTGCTCTGAGAGGAGAATTATTTTAGATTCTCACCGTCCTTGTGGTCAAGAAGTGCTTCCGTATGCCTACCTCAAATCCCTGCAGTTTAAAACCTCCAGGCCTGCCATCGGTGGAGTGACCTTTAGGGTGCTAAGGCTGAGTGTCCTCCTGTGGCCTCCCCCTTTACTCCTTTAAGACCTCCCCATGGGGCTACTGAGAGGATTCAGGAAGCGGACACAGGCCAAGTGCTTAGAACAGTGCCTGGGCCATGCGAGTCTTGTTCAGTGTTTGCCTTTCAGATTCTTAAAATTCAGATTTTAAGAGTTATTTATTTGACACACAGAGAGAGAGGGAGAAGCAGGCTCCCCACAAAGCAGGGAGCCTGATGCGGGACTCAATCCCAGGGCACTGAGATCACCACCTGAGCCGAAAGCAGATGCCTAACCGACTGAGCCACCCAGGTACCCCGTCTTTCCCATTATTATTATTTAAGATTTTATTTATTTATTTGACAGAGAGAGACACAGCAAGAGAGGAAACACAAGCAGGGGGAGTGGGAG